TGAGAAAGCTGTATTAATACAGATAATGTATTTTAATGAGTACAATCATTACTGCAGTTTCCTTTATGAACCTAATGAAAAAGTACAAACAGCGACGCCTGCTGTCATAAACTACAACTGCAGTCTATTTCCTCCGTCAGTCGGAACCTTTCGAAACCTCAGAGCTTAGTTCCTCCCCGGACCTAAACACAGGACGCACACAGAGCAGGCATGGCGTCCTTCAGTCTCTGACTGTCTTTCATCTGTCTGCTGCAGCTTCTCTTTCCGCTTCGGCTCGTTTGTTTTACACGAAGCCGAAGAAATATTTGACAACATGGCGACGAGGACCGTGAGACAACTGCTTCTTCACCGTAAGTAGCCGCTGGTTTAACGGTGACAGGGCAGCGTTAGCATGGGAGCTAGCAGGGACGGAGCGTCATGTTGCACCAGTGTGGATAGAAATACACACAACAGACAGAGAACAGACAGAGAACAGACACACAACAGACATCACACAGACAACAGACACACAACAGACCACACGGACAGTACTTGAAGTTGGCTGTGTAAGTAATCAAGATATACTTCTGTTTTAGCTGCTTCCTAATTACTTATATATTATTCTAACAAGTATTTTTTATATATTTTCACCCTTGATACTCTCTAAATTAAATATTGTTCAACTGTTTGGAACATTTTTAAATGTCCAACTTCCGCTTGACTACCTGCACATTTACCTGCAGGACCTCCAATCAATCAATCTATCAATCAATCAATTAATCAATTAACCAAGAACAGAAAAGCTATGACAAGAAATAAAAGCCTTCGTTGTATTTTCTTTAACATACTGATAATAAATACTTTGTATGTACTTTATATGAAATTCAAAACACTGACGCAATAACACACTGTCTGTAATCCACACTGACATCCAGGCTGAGTTGCATTAACAGATGTAACTTTTGTCTTCGGTCAGTTTATAAAGCTGTGAGTGCACTTTGTCTTTTCCCGGCTTTGTGTGATGTTTTTGTTTGTTGGTGGTAAAAAGACACATTCAGAGGAAGTTAGAGGAATGATACCAATCCACTAATATGGGTCTAAATCCTGAAACATTGGCGCCTACCCCTCCCTCAATGTAACACCTGCACAGATTCATTACAGATCATAGTCTTGAACCCAGATAACCCTGTTGACATTGACGTGGTGTGATTGGTTATTACATAGAAAAGTGTCCAATAATATGATTTAATTTAAATGTAAAACTATCTTTAAAGCTCAACCTCGCTCTCTGTCTCTCTCTCCCTCTCTCTCTCTGTCTCTCTCTCTCTCTCTCTCTCTCTCTGTTTGTTTTCGAAGGCTATGCATCCACAGCAGCAGCCGTGCGTCCACCGGCTGCCGAGCTCCGCAGCCAGCGCAGCGCCGTGTTCTCCAGAGAGCAGACCCGGCAGCGAGCTCTTTACCCGCGCATCGCGAAGATAGAGGTGTCCATGCGCGGCCCGGGGCTGGAGGGTACGCTGCTCGTCATGAACAGAGGGATCTCCACGCCGCTGAGCTGTGCCAGACGTAAGAGATAAACCTTCTCTTCGATCTGTGAACTGCTTCAGCTCTGTATTCATGGATTGCTTGTGTATTGCTACATGTGTAATTCTAAATACTTGTTTTCTCATTTAACTCCTGTTTCCCTCAGACTTGACAGAGCATCATGTGACTAACTCAGCTCTGGCCCTCGTCGATGGGGAGCCCTGGCCGCTCCACCAGCCCCTCATCCGCTCGTGCTCACTCACCCTGCTCTCATTTAGGGACAGTGACCCAACTCTGGTCAACCAGGTACTTTTACACCCAGAAAAACCCTTTTAGTAAATAGGTACTCTGATTCTTACTTTCTAAAAAGTGAGGACAAAGCTGAGCCTGATTTAGATCATTAATTAAGCCGCAGCTGTTTGTGCTTGTGACATTTGTGGTGTGTCATTCATTTTTCAGACTTTCTTCCCCAAAGTGAAGTCAAGGAACTTCACAGGTTCCAGGGGGAAATAAGAGAATGTTGGCAAATGTTATTTTATTTATTTCTGTCTGTTTTTAGATTGTTGACCATTTCTAACTTAGAAGCTGTTATTGAAAGTAATAAACTCATCTGACTTGAAGTCTTGAGGTGATGAGAGATGAGATACATTTCCATGGAAACTTTTTCAAATGTCCATTTTCTTTAGCATAAATGTCAACAAATATGAATATATATAAAAATTCCTAAAGCCTCTTCTTGCTTAATCTGGACCAAAATTCCGTCCCGTTCTTGCCGGCTTCTCTTAATGCATGTGTTCTTCCTCTCGGTTAAATGTACATCGCTTCTTACCAAACTCCAGTTAACAGTGTCTATGATCTGTTTTACCTTATCAATCATCTTAATCTTATCACGTGAAGATTAAATGTCTTCGGTCTTGTCCTTCCAGGCCTACTGGCGCTCCTGTGCTGCCATGTTGGGTCAGGTGCTGGAGACTGCCTTTAAGGACAACTACACTGTGACGCTGCTCAGCACGCCGGAGGTGCCAGGTAGAGGAGCTCCTCTTCCTCTTCCTCTCAGTCAAACGCATCAGAGCAGTAGAATTAGTTTTTGGTTGATGTTTTTACCTGATTTGTGTCGACGTCCTGTGTTTCCCCACAGTCACTTCAGGAGCCTTCTGCTGTGATGTGGCCCTCGACCCTCAACTGGATTCATGGACTCCCTCAGAGGTGTGTGTGTGTGTGTGTGTGTGTGTGTGTGTGTGTGTGTGTGTGTGTGTGTGTGTGTGTGTGTGTGTGAACAGCATAATGTTTCTTCTCATGGTCTGTAGTTAGTTAATAATCTAAGCTACTTTATGAGACCGTACTGGAGTAAGACGATGGCAAACAATGTCAAGACAAAGAAACTCTCACAGTTAATGTTTGGCCTAAATAAAAAAATAAAGTAAAAGTTCCTCCTCTGAACCACATCTGGTGCATTTCCCTCCGTCCTTTTCTCTCCAGGAGACGTTGCGCTCCCTGACCCGCGGGGCCCAGCAGCTGATCCACCAGGACCTGCCTTGGGAGCCTCTGGAGGTGGTGCCATCTGTGGCGCTGGAGGTCTTCTCACACAGCAGGTACATTGACTACTGATCGTAATAGTTTACCTCTGATGCTCCTACTATACATGGTCTCTGTCAGCGACCACAGCGTTGAACTTGAATTCTTTGTGCCCAGAGTTAAACAGGAGGAGGTGGAGGAGAAAGCAGCACAAAATCCCAAAGGCACAGTGATGCTCTACAGGTGAAGTAACAAACACATATTGTGATCATAACTTCATTTCTGGCTAATATTCTTAATATAGTGTCACTACCTTGTATAGTCATGTGTATCTAAAGAAGTGTACATCTTTTATGTAGATGTGGTGACCATGTGATGTTGAGTGGGGGCCCTCTAGTGGCCAGGACAGGCATGTGTTCCCAGTACGAGGTGACGGCTCTCCACAGCCTGGGACCGGGGCCCTGGGGCCTCCACCGTCGGGCCCAGGGCCTCTCTTTGCCTCTGCAGCTGCAGGTAGGGACGCCTGTGAAATATGATGATGTAACACACTGATAACTATTTTGTACACCTACATATGAGACAGTTTGTTTTTGCATTTTAATACACTTCTGCTTTATTTTTAATTTCTTCATATTTTATTCACTGCATCCTTTTCTGTCCTCTCAATAAACCCAGTAAGGCCCCAGAAATATCTTTAAAGAGTTAGATTTAAAGGTGAATTTATGTTTGGAACTTTAGTCAAGTTCCGGTACCACCAAGAAAAAAAGTGTTTATTATTTAGTTGTCTGCGATGGTTTTCCATATTAGTAAAATGTATTTTAGCATTGATTGTATCATGACAGTTAATGGCTCTCCTATAATTGCTCCGAAGGGTGAGGTGCAGTGTTAGTACTTTATTGTTGCGTTCACTTGTCTCCAAGTCACGTTTTCTCTCTCTCTCTGTCGTTGCAGGCTCACCACACAGTCTGGAGGAAACTGAGGCAGAGAGCAGAGAAACTGGTAAGAAGGGTTAGGGTTAGGGTAACCCAGCAAATATCTGTTTTCTACCCGACGCACTCGCTCCCCAGCAGTGGCGAGACGAGGGCTGTTGCTGTGGTGTTGTCTGGATACTCGTCCAAATTACTGTTCTACATTCAGCCAGCCTGCTCCCTGCGCTGCAGCCGTCACTTCCGATTTCGCAAAGCAGCCAGAGGTTGAGATTCAACGCGGCTATTTTTACTGCTTTTCATTTATATTTTGGCAAAGAGACAAGGGGAGGAGATGTGGTGCGTGCTTCAGGAAAAACCAGGTCTCATCCTCCCCATGAAGGACAAACCTTTTTCTGATCCAAACATCAGAGACACAAACTCGAGATCCAAAGAAGAAGTATTTTTAAATCTGTGCAGGTTCAAGATGTTTTAGATCCTGACATTGAGATTGATGCTACGTTGAATCTGCGTCTGAGCAAGTTTGACTCTGAAGCATAAATTCTCCATATTCAAACTAGGCTGTGGGTTAATTTTGGACTGAGCCATCTAGGCGAAATATATTTTGCTGCAGCCTTTTTCTGGCATTCTCTGCGCATCACTGATTGCGTAATATGAAAAAAAAAACATGTACTCATTAATAGACACGCTTGATTTGGCAACTGATGACACACCGCGCTCTGTGGCCTACATTTCATTTGCAGATATTCGGTTATTCGGGGAATTGAAATAGCGCTTTATTAAAGACAAAGTCTGAGCGTCAGAGTTGAACATTCAAAGTGAAACATTTGACGTCTTTCTGGTGTTTTTTCCAAGCACAGGATTAGCATGCAGAGCTGCTGCACGGGCAGGACATCGGTTTTACCATCTGAGAGGACACTTCCATATTATCACCTGACGCAGTGATGTTTGTTGTGTGGCGCGAGGTGCAGAGGACAGTCGTGTCGTCCTCTTTGTCCCTTGTGTTTACAGAGAGACGCTTATCAGTAAAGTGAAACAGAGATAGAGCCCATTTGAAGGGCATTGAAACATCAGTGTTTTCAGTATGTGGAGCAAACTAATGCACATACTTTCCCTCAGCAGCTCATACATCACCACATGACTGTTTTAACCAGTTTTATAAACCCACAGGACGCTTGTTTGTCTTCGTATTTTTAATGTTTGCAGGTAAAAACAAACAGCATCAAGCAAACCAAGGAAACAGGCTCCAAGGACACAGTGTTATGTTAAAATGGTAAAAGGTTTGTTATGTGTCACCGCACAGAACTCACCACTTGCGTGTTTATAAAAGCAGCGAGGCGTGGGCGGGCACGTTTTGCAGCCGGCTGCAGGCAGTAGGGAGGTATGTCCCCCGTCCGCCTCCAGCTGGCGCTCAAACACGGCCGCCCACACTGCAAACAGATTCTCCCAAATTTTCTCTGTGGGGGGGGGGGGCATCATGCCCCGACAACCTCTCAGTGGAAGTGTCCTTTACAAGATTGTTTCTAAGCCTTTTCTGCTTTATCGAATGTTCCCCAAAGACAGGAAACAGCTTCAAGAGACAACGTACTAATATTAAAGTGGACAT